AATAATAATAATAATAATAAATGTCAATATGTATAAAAATGTGCCTTAGTCATTCAGTACAACAGATTCATTCATGTGAAATTAAAACAGATTAATTGTTTGAACCTGTATGAAAACATATAAGATTAAGATTGTCTAAAAACTTAAGTACTTAAAAAATATGTTAAAACTTAAGTGAGTTTGAGAAGACTGCTAAAAACCTTTTTGGTATGTTTAATATGACTTGCTCAGAACTTAAACCAAAACTGAAATATTCAAACATGAAGAAAGAAAGAAAGAAAGAAAGAAAGTAAGAAAGGATCCATTATCTCCAATGTCATGAAATGGTCTCATTAAGGTTCCTCTTGTGGCACAGTCTTTAGCCTGTATTGTTGTGAATGATGGGAAACAGCCCGTTCTAACTGTGTGACGCTGTAAAAGCCTCCTAATACATTCTGTAGCCCACTATGAGGATATTCTCATCCCTGATAACACGCTTTAGCTTGATAGACTGTTCTTATGTTAGGCTCATTTAGATGATGATATTAAGATGAGGTGGATTATGCTTCTTAAGTGTCCTCAAACTGCTAAAGCTTTGCTTGAGGTTAGCAAAAGCACTAAACTTCCACCACAACTGTTCTTTAAAGCACCCATTTAAAAGTATTTCTCTTTGATTGTGTGTTTGTATTCACTTGTGTGGTTTATTTTACATGCATGACCTAGTTGTACTCTATTAAGGTGGTTTACAAAGACATTTATTGTGTCCTCATAAATCGAAATTCTTAAAAATCATACTTAATGGGTCAAAATGTGCTTCAGGTTTCCTTTGAGGGTTGGGTTTAGGGTTAGGATTGGGAATAGACCATATAATAAGTATTTTTTACAGTATACCATACAATACGCCTATGGAGAGTCCTCATAAACCATGTACAAGCATGTGAATGTGTGCATATATGTGGCTCTCTGTGTGTGTCTTTGAGTGGGTTTAAAACAAAAAAACATCACATAATTATTTTAAAATTAATTAATTTGTTACATAAAATGCTTCCATGTTTAATGCAGCACTATTAACAGTTTGCAACTAAACCTTATTATAATCTCACTACGTTGACACATTGAGGTGTTCTCGTTCTCAGTGTAAAAGCATTAACATTTGACATCACTGAAAAGCACTCAATTTCCACCACAACTGTTCTTTAAAGCACCCATTTGAAAGACTTTCTCTCTTTGTGTGTGTACTTGTTTATGTGGTTTATTGTAAATGAGTATGACCTAGTTGTACTCTTTTAAGGTGGTTTAGGAAGACATACGTTGTGTCCTCATAAATCAAAATGCTTAAAAATCATGCTTAATGGGTCAATATTTACCACATTAAGCTATGAGGGTTGGGTTTAGGGTCAGGATTGGGATAGGACCATATAATAAGCGTTTATTTACAGTATCAAATATAATGCACCTATAGAGAGTCCTCATTAACCGTGTACAAGCATGTGTATGTGTATGTATGCATATATGTGCCTCTTTGTATGTATATGCGTGGGTTTAAAGTAAACTATTATACAATTCTTTTAGAATTAGTTAATTACATACAATGATGCCTTCTTTATTGCTGCACGATCAACCGTTTGCAACTAAACCTTATTATGATCTCACTACATTGACACATATAAATGTTCTCAGTGTAAAATCATTAACATTTGACATTGCTGAAACCACAACAGTTCTTTAAAGCAGGGGTTCCTAAACTTTTCAGTCTGCGACCCAAAAAATGACAGTGTCAGTGACTCGCGACCCCCAATATACTCCGAGGTGGTTATAAATACAGAAACCTTGCATGCAATGGCGCAAACACAACACTACACCCAGGTATATTCTTGGTTTCATTTTTTAATGTATGTCAGTGCTGTAAATGGGCCAGAAAGTTTAATGTGTTATAAAATCAATCTGCTGCATCTGACGCTATTGCTGTGTCTTTAAAATAATGCAACTACCACAGGGGTCGCAATCCAATAGAACTAGTAACTATAAGCTACTATAGGAACTATATAGTATATAGTATCTATTTTTTTCTCTTCAGTAGTTTAAAATATGATAATTCTTATAGTTTAATAAAAATAAATAGATTTTTGGAAATCACCAGGCGACCCCCCTTTATTGTCCCGCGACCCCTCGAGGGGTCCCGACCTCCCCTTTGAGAACCACTGCTTTAAAGCACTCGCTTTAAAGTCTTTCTCTCTTTGTGTGTGTGTGTGTGTGTGTGTGTACTTGTTTATGTGGTTTTGTACATAAGTATGACCTAGTTGTACTCTATTAAGGTGGTTTACGGTGACATTCCTTGTGTCCTCATAAATCAAAATGCTTAAAAATCATACTTAATGGGCCAAAACTTGCCACATGTTTCCTCTGAGGGTTGACTTTAGGTTTAAGATTGGGATAAGACCATATAATACTAATTTTTACAGTATAAAATACAATACATCTATGGAGAGTCCTCATAAGCCATAAATACAAGTATGTGTATGTGTGCGTATATGTGCCTCTGTCTGTGTCTATGCGTGGGTTTAAAGTAAACCATCATATAATTCTAGTTTCCACCCAGCTCTGTACACATTCAGACTTTAACAATTAATTAATTTCATACTATGATTCCTTGTTTAATGCAGCGCTATCAACAGTTTACAACCAATCCTCTTTATAATCTCACTACGTTGACACATTTAAGTGTTCTCAGTGTAAAAGCATTAACATTTGACATTACTGAAAAGCACTCAATTTCCACCACAACTGTTCTTTAAAGCACTCGCTTGAAAGTCTGTGTGTGCGTATACATGCTTGTGCGTCTCAATGTGTGTCTATGTGTGGGTTTTAGATTAAAATAGGTTTAATCACGAAGCAGCTTCCAGCAATCTGCAGTCTGCCTACTCTCTCCTCTAGGAAATTCAGCTTGACGCGCATCAACTCTCCTCTGCCTTCTATCACACATCTTCCCGTGTCACAAGTTCAAGAAAAAAAGCTGCTAAAGGTGTCACAGTCTGCAACCCACCTGTTCTCACCTATGACTCATGCCGCACACCTCTCTTCATCTATACTTTAAATATGTGTCACCTGACATCAATCTCAAGGCATGCACGGTTTGTATTATTTATAGAGTGAACTGTGATGTTTTACATGACCTTTAATAATTAATATAATCAGCTCTCTGTATGATGAAACAACACTCTTTTATGTGTGGTAAAATATTTCTCCTACACTGGCATATGGGATGATGAGACGTTAAGAATAAAGTTGTAGATGCTGTGCTGCTTCAAGGAAAAAGCAGGACAGATGGTGTAAGGATTTATTATTGTTTCGCTGTCCCTACATCCAGATAAGTTCAACCTCTTCCCATGGGTAATCAGCGCTCCTTGGGAATTTCCTTCCTATTAGTCCAGGAAGCATCATTCAAAGCATACTTTGGCTTTTTATTTCTTTGGGATATTATAATCGAAATCATCATTTTAAAGCAAGACACTGCAGGTGAATAGATTAAAAAGAAATAAGTAATAACTATTACCCATGCTGATATGAATTGCAAACATTTTATGTATTACACGTTTTCCAAAATATTGTTTAAATATACAAAATGAAGTAAAACTTGAAAAATGAAACAAAACTTAAGTAAATATAAGCCTTTTAATAAAAAAAAAATGAACACGGGATAAAGCCAGTTTTAAATTTTTTGTTTCATTTTTTAAATAGTTTTTACCAACAACCAATATAAAAAAAAAATATGGGCAAGGAGGAAATAAAATTGTACCTTAAATATTAACATATCTCTCTTTACAGACATGTGAATTATATAGAATATACAAACATCTTTAAGTGTCATCTGGAATTTTCTTCAACTATGACCATTTTTCTCAGCTTCTTATGTTTATGTTCAGTTATTTCATGTTAAAAGCGATGAAAATAACTTATTCTTTGCCATAAAAGTGAAATTACTGAATCAAGAAAAAGGAGCTTGAGAAATATGCTAATATTGGAAGAAAAATTCAGATGGCACTTAGAAGTTTTTGCATCTGAACTCTTCATATGGCATACTTATCTGCTGAATTTAATATGTATGGCTCAGTGCAGGAAAGAACAAATAATTCATAATTTAAAATGACGTAATTTAAGTGAAATCTATAAACAGATTGGTAAAGTGTGACAAACTAACAACTAAACTTTATTTTGGATGTCTACTTTTCATTAGGCTGGAAAAATATATAATATTACAGGGGGAAAAAAAAACTTTTTAGAGGTAACAGCTTTCTAAACTATGTATTTTTAGTGAAATCTATAAACAAATTGATAAAGTGGGACAAACAAACAGCTAAAACTGTATTTTGAAAGTCTCCTTTTCATTAGACTGGAAAAAACATAATATTACAGGGAAAAAAGGTATTCAGAGAAAACAGCATTCAAAAAGATGTATTTTACGTAAATCTGTAGACATAAATTGATAGTGTGACAAATGAACAGCTAAAACTGTATTTTGGATGTCTTCTTTCATTAGACAGGAAAAAAAACATATGAAATTACAGTAAAAAAAAAAAAAAACTTATTCAAAGAAAACAGCATTTAAATGGTGTTTAGGGGTGAAATCTATAGACACAAATTGATAAAGTGTGATAAACGAATGGCTAAAACTGTAGTTTGGAGATCTCCATTTCATTAGACTAAATATATATATATATATATATATATATATATATATATATATATATATATATATATATATATATATATATATATATATATATATATATATTTATATAATATAATTCAATAAATATCATTATATAAATATATTCACCAAGTATCAAAACAGACAGGTGAATGAAAAAACAGGTGTCTTTTCACACAGTATCTCCTTACATTAAACAGAGATTTAAATATAAAAACACAGCATCATACAGCCATTAACACAGGTGGAAAATTTCTCAATTTCATAAAATATGATAAGAAATACACAATTATATATAAAAACGATCGCATACCAGAGTTTTGGTCTCTTCAACAGTCGTTTTCCCTGATTGGAAAATCCCTAGTGATCGAGAGTCGTTATATCCTCCTCAGTTTCAGGTCAGCGGTGTCTGTTTCCAGCTGCATGTGAACCTGTCTGAGCTCCACCGAGCCGCTCGCTGGACAATCAGGCCCCTCCAATGGCAAAAGTGATCAGCCCAGCCCAGCCGTTCCTCTGGACGCTTCCTGTTATTGTCCAACTCCAAAGCCTTCTCTGGAAAATCAGATAACATTCGCAGCTCCCTGACCACCAGTAGCTCAGTGAGGCAAGCAGAGCATTACAGCGCTCAACGAGCACGAGAGAGAGAGAGGGAAAGAGAGAGACTGAGGGAGGTGGGAGATCATTAAGCTCCCTAAAAGAGGAGCCGAACGCAAAAGTGATTTATTATTAAACCTATAGTATAAAGAGCCACGATAAACAGGTTAACGGTGTTACAGTAATCCAGAGGGATTAGATATTCAATTTTTCTGAGGCTGGGACCATCATATCAGTCTCTGTGATCTTGTGTAAACTGGTAAGTGAGAAAGAGGTGAAGGGCGGGGAGGGGGGTCTCTCTTGAGTTTAGGGACTGGGTCTTGCGGCGGATGTATGCATCTGTCAGAAGTGCTTAGCGTTTTGCCCCATTGATCTAAGTGGAGAGAGTCAGTTTAGTAGGATTAGTTGCACCGAATGGCCGAGCAGTTCTGACAGGGGACCCAAGATAAATGCCCCTGGGTGCTTAGAAAGAGAGGCAATTGCTGAAGTGCAGCCCTACTTGACATTTGCTTCTGTTTGTTTGTCTGCTTCTCTTGGCTTTTAGCGAGGATATTCTTATTTCTTCGAATATGTCTTTTGGCCTTCACTTTGGAAGACACGGCTGACACGACTGGCCCCTGGTGAAAAAGTCTCTGCGACCTTTGATCTTATTTAGCGTTCAGACTGCCATGCTGAAGTTTTGTTCATATCTAGTCTACTAATTTTCTTTGAAGAGTACTCCTTGACCTTGTTTTCTAGCAAGCTAATGCATGAAAAAATCTGATAGTAAAAAAAATGTTACCGTAAGATTCACGCCATGCATGATACATGAAAACAAAACCATTTCAAATGACATGAAGTGGAAACTGACTGGTGCCCTTCAGCGGACGTGAGAACATTTGAAAGACCGCATTTAATGGTACCTGTCCAATTCATGTCCAATGCTATCTTGGAATGTAAGACTTATAAAAGGTTAGATAATTGTTCAGAAGCTGAGGTGAGAATTTATGCGTAGTGGATGTCTTACAGAAATGACGGTCAAGGTCAGCTCTTTGCACATACTTTGCTTTTAAAACTAAGGCAAATTTCTATGGTGTTATTGTCACAGTTCTACAGTACAATGTAAATGGATCAGGTATATTTCATTATCCAGATATTAAATCTCAGGAAAAATTGAGCAATCATTTTTTAATTTTATTTATGTTTAAACATTATATATTAATACATATGTTTTATCATTAGTTTCATAATCCAGTAAAAGTACATTGTGAAAAGCGATTACTTGACTTTACTGTACTTTAATAAGAGAGTAAACCCATTGCCTTAAAATTCTTAAGTAAATAAACAATGTACAACAACTCACAAAAAGTTAACATTACAGTTCTAAGTTACAGCGGGTTAACTCTTTTTAAAGTAAAATCAGCTTTTTGCTTTTAGTGCAATGATTTTCTCACTTGCTAAAGCAAATAATCACTTTCACAGTATGATGATGGTATTACTACTACTACTACTACTACTACTACTACTACTACTACTACTACTACTAATAATAATAATAATAATAATAATAATAATAACTGTCCAAGTTCTTGTTAACACAAATTTATAATTAGCCAATCAAATGGCAGCAACTCAATCTCTGAACACGTCCAACCTTGAAGCAGATGGGCTACAGCAGCAGAAGACCACACCGGGTGCCTCTCCTGTCAGTTGAGAACAGGAAACTGAGGCTAAAATTGGCACTGGTTTACAAAAATTGGTCAATAGAAGATTGGAAAAACATTGCTCCTGATGGTTACTTCCAGCAGGATAACGCACCACGTCATAAAGCGCAAACCATCTCAGACTGGTTTCTTGAAAACATGTCAATGAGTTCACTGCACTCAAATGGCCTCCACAGTCACCAGTCAATCCAACACAGCACCTTTAGGATGTGGTGGAACCGGAGATTCACATCATGGATGTGTAGCTGACAAATCTGCAGCAACTGTGTGATGCTATCATGTTAATATGGTCCAAAACCTCTGAGGAATATTTCCAGTATCTTGTTGAATCGATGCCACAAAGGATTAACGCAATTTTGAAAGCAAAAGAGGGTCCAACCCGATACTAGTAAGGTGTACCTAATGAAGTGGCCGGTGAGTGTATAGTCTAAATATTAATCTAGAATATTAATGCCCCAACATACTTCAAGCAAAACTCAATATGACACATATAATGTGACAAATCTAAATCAGGCCAAAGCAAAGTTAGTTTAGAGTGTATTTCAGAAGATCTAAACAGCTTAAAAACAACTTCAGACAACCATTGGCCTTCTTTGATTTGGAAATCAGTGGTTTATTTACTTTGTCTAGTCTGTAGAGTTGCTGCATGGCGGAAGCTAAAGAGGTTTTGATTTTCATAAAGCTGCTTGCTGCATGAGCCAAATTGCAGAGCTGGTGCAAACATCCAAATTGCTATGATCGAATTCTTTCTTAACTGCACTTTTTCATGGCTGTGATTTTAGTTGTAGAGTACTTTTATTATTATAAGGAAAACATGTGGCACGTATTTACATTCTCACTTAAATGGCAACCTCGGGCATTTGCTAACAGTATACCACTGCTGCTTAGGCATTTCAATATTTTCTTTTCACTAAACAAAATAACTTTGCTGTTAGTATATCGATGCCTTTGATGCACAAAGATAAAATCTCAAGAAAAATAAAATAAAAATGGTAACATTTTATTTCGATGGTCCATTTAAGTATTACTAGACTGTCAGCTTAATATCTGCTGATACTGCTCCTTTAATAGACATTTAACAGACTGTAAGACATTTTTTTATGTACATGTCAACTTACACTAACCCTAGCCCCAACTCCAAAAGTCTACTTATAATCTAACGAGAATTAGTTGTCATGTAAATGCAATGTAACTTAAATTTAACAAACAGACCATCAAAATAAAGTGTGATAAAACAAAAAAAAAAACAGACTTTTTATTTCAGAACTTAGTATAAGTAAATTTCATACTCCTCATTGTCAATGGAGACCTTTCCCAATGCCTCCTATGGGCACAGCTGTGGCGTTTAACCAATACCCAGCAGACATTCTTGCGCCATCACCCACCAGACTACATGAGGCAGTGGATGCCTTGTGAAGTGTGTGCTTTAAAAATAGCAGGGTTCTTGTCGTCTTTCGTTTGCCCAATGTGTGCAACCAAGCGAATGGAGGCCCTCCGAGAAAGCTGATGTACAGCATGTTTGAGGCGTTTGGACTGATCTTAACGAAACATTAATGTTCACTTAACGTGATCCTAAATTCACCCTGGGGCATCGTCTGAAATGGAAGAGCATGTGTTTGAATCACCCTCCTTCCACTTTAGCCTTACTGAATATGGACCCCTTTAAAGAAACCCCACTTTCATACAGAAAGCAAATGATTTGATGCCACATTGGGGATGAAGCAACGAAAGCGTAAAAGTCTATAATTTTTAGGTCTGGTAACATGCTTCAGAATAATTGCGTTACAGTCATACCAGAGAAAATTTGTTTTAATAATAAAACACAAAGAACCCCTTCAAAAGCTAATGAGGAGCGCCTGAGGAATACGCATCGGATGCTGTTTGCAAGGCTAACGCTAAATTATGCAGTATGAAGAACACAATAGCATTCAGAATCATCGCTTTTGAAGTTCAAAATGCCTTTTGATTTCTTTGGATTTGGGAAAAGCACAATCCACACTGTTGTGATAACTGATTTTAGAGACTCCAAGTCTTTTGTCTAATGCAATAACAGAGAAATAAACACAGAGATGTATCAAAGCTGTTTGCCAATTTACCTTTCAAGAAGCACATTAATGCTAATTTTATCACCCCGCTGAACCAAGCAGCCAGACTAACAGTGCCAGTGCAGGCAAAGCAGCTTTCAACAGCCAGTTAGTGCATTATTTTTGATGTTAAGATGTGTGAAGAGACAACCTGGAGCAGAGAGCTACCAAATAAGAATGCAGCCAGTTGTAAGAGAAAACAGACCCAGGCGATACTTTCATGTCGCTTTCCTTGCACTCACATGTTGAATTCATTAATTCCCCGAACATATTCCCTTCAGGTTTAAGGACTTGAGAGAGTTAAAATTGCCAGAGAGTTTCATCATGGGCCTACTTGCCCTTCATACCTTTCTCAATAACAAACGGGAGAAGCATATTCAAGGGTGGGTAATAGCAGCAGAGGGATTGCCTCATAGTGGGAAGTCAGACAAAAATGTGTGATTTCACAAAAAAAAATTATTTGAAGACAACATGCTCTTCGCAAAATATTAATTGCGCCTCGTGACATCAAGTTCCAAATGAAAGAAACGAGGTGAAAGATCAAGCTCTTCGGTTCTCTTGTGACTGCGTTCAAAGTAAAACGAATGCTGCTGAGCTCGACATCGGTGACATGCTCGCAGAATTAGTCACGCAGAATGAATCACGTTACATTTTTATCTCTGATGTCACAACCCCATGTATGGTATACAGAGTATCGCGCCCACTGTGATTAGTAATGCCAGCTTCAAAGTCTCTGTTCTCCCCTCCTACACCTTTCCAAAATGGAGAGGTCTGCTAATCCCATCACTTCAGTCCTAATCAAGCAGCTCCAGCCCCGCAGTAATTTCCGTAACGCCAGCCCCTGCTTCCTCCCAGACCCAAACTAATCTTCAGCTCATGTCCGGTGTTTGAACCCTCAGAAACATCGCAGCAGACGCTCGGACCAGCAACCCTGAACTTTTAATCACTGCACTGATTTGTGTTTTGCTAAACGATTTCACACACTTACTGAAACATGCTGTTAAAGGGCGTGGTGGCACAACTGAAAGCATGTCTTGGTCACCTTTTGGCATTCTTG